AGGAAATTCCAAGGGTTTCAGGAGCTTCATGCCAAGAAATGGAAACAAAGACCAAATATTTACTTTTTATTATATACCAGACTCCCACCAAAATGTTAAGTCTGATGTGGCAAGGGATTTTTTTCTCTACTCTATTTTACTTTATTTATATAATTATTTAATGTAAAACTGTTAACAGAAAGAGTTAAGTGTCCCTGGAAAAAAGACATAACTTTCTTGACATAAGGCCCCCGAGCCATCTTATGAAAGAATATAAGAACAGCCACTATCAGGCCCGGAGTCTAATCTTTAATCTCATCAGGGACAATAAATCAGTGGTAAAGCTCCCAGAGTTCAAAAGTGAAGACTGACCTTCTTGAGTTATCTTTGCAGGATCTAAATCCCTTTAACCCTCAGATATTGAACTAACTGGAGCCAGAAAACTGATGATACTATCCTTTGCTGGCCTTTGTGACTCTGACCTGGACTCAGTCACTTTAAGATGACTTTTGCCCCAATTCCATGATGTATTCCCCATTCCACAAGCCTCGTCATGAATATGTATGAACCCTTACCCTAAAACTTTCCCAATTTTGTTATTCAGGGAGACACTGCTTTGGGAAAGATGCCTCATGTTCTCCTTTACTTGCTGCAAGTAAAACCTTCCCTTTTCCCATTCTTTGGCTTGGTTGTGTCTCTTGGTTTGACATTCACCAAGAGACAAACCCAGTTTTCAGTAACAAAATGTTTTTACACAATACTCCCATAACTTACATACTTTAGATTTTCTTTTTTATTTTATCCATACTGTATCCCAGTGCAACAATAATGCACACACAGTAGATGCCAAATAAATATTTCTTGCATAAATGAATAAATTAAATGGGTTCTTACCATACAGGCATACCTCATTTTATTGTGCTTCACTTTATTGCACTTCGCAAATACTGCATTTTTTTATAAATTGAAGGTTTGTGGTCACACTGCATCAAGCAAGTCTTTTGGCACCATTTTTCCAGTAGCATTTGCCCACTTCATGTCTCTTTGTCACATTTTGGTAATTCTCACAATATTTCAAACTTTTTCATTATTATTATATTCGTTACGGTTACCTATGATTAGTGATCTTTGATGTTAATACTGTAATTGTTTTGGGATGCCACGAACCACACCTATATAAGACACTGAGCTTAATCAGTAACTGT